ATTCGCGTTTCCGGGGTGACTTGATGTAGCATGACGCCATTTGGAAAATATCAGGAAGATCAAATTCACGCAGAGGATCACAGATCGTTTGTCATAATGATCATTCTCTCAACTTTCTCAAAATATGTACAAATGAAGACTTTAATTTCGTCGACAGGTATTTATTAATTTTTAAACAATAGAAAATAATTCTTTACAAACCAATTAATTAAATCTTTTTGTTAAATTAAATCTGTGATCTACGATCTTATACAATTTAGCAAAAAAGAAAAAAATTGAAGATAATAGATAGGCAAATTTATTACATTAAAGAAATATAATAAAGGAATAATTAAACAATTTCAATCGACATATCAAATAATTTCCATACGTGCTTAGTTGATATTTTAAGATTTCGATAAAAAATTTCTATAAAATTTATTATAATATATTTATATATACGGCTATCCTGAATATTTTTTATTAGATACGTTAAATGACAAAAAAACTTAAATCTCCAGCTTCTTCAAAAATGTTTTATAAATATTATAGTATTAATATTACAAATAATATTGTCAGTTATGTATTGATGCATATAATGGCTGTTTTTAAAAAATACATTTTGGAAAAATAATATATCATATTTTGAGTAGATGTGCGCACTTCCTATTGTTTACGTAAATAAAGTTAAGCAAGTTATTGTTTCTTCGTATTTTTAATTCGTATTATAAATTAAAAATATTTTTACCGCAATAATACTACTTCCCATAAAATTCGGTCAAAAATATTATGAGTTGAAAAAGAACATTAATGCAATAAAAATTATGTGCTAAAAATATATATGATGTGCTTGGGAAACAATTTAGAATGTATTACCACTTTAGAATGCATAAGTAGACGTTGGTTTAAAAATGTTCATTCGGAGAACTTCAATCTCCAGGATAAATCTCGTAGTGATAGATATTCTGATTTTGATAATGATGTTTTGAAACATTGAAAAAAATCTATATCAAACTTCAAGACAATTTGCAAACAAATTTAATACTGGGTGCGTTCAGCAAAATGTAATAGTTTTGCAATCGTTTTATGATTGTTTGTTAAATGATTTTAAATGTCTCAACATGTTTAATTAACGATTGCCATTTTAAAGGTATATGTACACTAAGTTTGTGAAGCAAAACGTATTTATCAAAATAACTGCCCCCAATGTATTATTCTTTTAAATATAAAATTAATAAGTATTACACATATAACAATATAATTTATAATCTAGTAACCCTTTTGAAACACACAAAAAAATACTGCTTCAATTACTATCTATAGAAGATTAAAAATAATAACTCAAATATATTTTATATATAAATATTTTCTACATATCGTAAAGTTTAAATTTTTCAGCTATATACTCATGCATGCGATTAGCTAATATCATAAGATTATGCCTGTGGTATATACAAAAATGTAAGGACTCGAGAAAAAATGTTTTATATATAATTATATAAAATTGTATAAAATTCTACATAGTCTGATATAATTGTATATAATATAGACATATTTTATATATAATTATATATAATTTTATATAATTTTGTACAATTATATATAAAATTTTGTCCGGATAATAACCAAATTGATCAATTACAGATACAGATAGTAAAGCCAATAGCAAATCCAATGTTACGATTTCCTTACTTCTTTACCTTAATTTTGTATGTGTCATCAGCTTTAGAGCACTCAACATATTGTAGCTCATCAGTAAACCATTAAACAATAATTGCATTCTGTTGAACGCACCTATATTGATCATTCTATCCTAATTCGTTCAAATTCGGTAAAAAATTTTTCGTGCATGAATATATATATATATAAACATACAAAAACATACAATATAATTATGTATGAAATATGTCCATATATATTTATAAATCCTTCTCTTTCATTTGTAAAATTACTTTTTAGTGTACTGAAAATAATAATAATAATAAGAAAACATAAAAAATATTTTAAAAGAAAATTTTCGCATTGTTTGTTTTAGAAAATAACAAGTTCAAAAAAACGCAAAAAATTTAACTATTTTTTGTTTTCTCAATATTGTTATTATTATTAGTACATTAAAAAGTAATTTTACAAAAGAAAGAAAGATGTAGAGACATATTTCACCTATAATTATATATAATTATGAATATTTATGCGTGTTTAGATATGTTTATATATATTGATGTATACATATTGATATAAAAAATTTTCAAATAGCTTATGCAAATATATTTACAAAGTATGATATTTGTTATTTAGATATGTCTTTTGTAATTTTTATTTATTAGGTGTTGGAATTAATTCGTAGCGTTTTTTAATGAAAGAATGTTATTTATTTCACATGAGCATTAAAAAATACATTAATGAAAGTACTTCCCATCACTTGTAAAACGCTACGAATTAATTCCAACACCTAATACATAATTAATATATAAAAGAATAATGAAAATTAATTAGTCATTTAAAATTGAGATTAAAAATTGAAAGACTCCAAATTTTTGAGTCAAATATTGGAGTCTAAATTAAAAATTATAAACATATACATTTATTTGGTTCCTGAATATGATTTATGTATATATTGGATTACATATTTCAATAATAATTATTAAATTTTCTTCTGCTTTTTGGGAGATAGTGCGATTAATACTGAATCGTCACTTGTAAATAAATATTTATTAGTGGTATTGTTCGGTGTCCTAATCTGTCACCTACAAAAAAACAAAGGAAACTTATTGCCAATAATTATTAAAATATATTTATATCAGACCTTATATATATATTCTGCATTTTATTCTATTAATTCTGCATTCCAAATGACAATAATAAATATTTTACATTGTCGTGCAGGTTTTTATTTATGGTGAAAAAGCAATAATAATATAATGATACCGACGCTGTTGTTGTTAAAAATAAGTGAATGGGGATTTTAGCTTCTTAAAATATTATCCTTATTTTTTCCTATTATAAATTTTAAATATAAATAGAAGAATAGTATTTATTCCTTATTCCTCAATTTTATATACACACGTACATGCATTTATATACCTATATGCAAGGCTGGCATGTATTTAAAATACTTTTATTTAGAACTATTTGCAATATACAAGTGTATTTTGTATTTTTTATTTCAGCGGATTACATAAAAGTATTAGATATTTTGTATTTAAAATCGAAAGATTGAAAGCTTTTGTATGTTGTAATTAATAAGGTTGATTATCAATGTTAGTATTTGAAATACAAAATACTTTCAATCTTTTGTTATTAATACTGAAATACAAAATACAAAATATTTTCATGTACTCCGAACAAACACAAATACAAAATATAATTGTCTTACCAATACTGTTTTTCAAATAAAAGTAAATTTCAAGTACATGCCAGCTCTGCCTATATGAATTTATAAAGTCAAATATAATTGAACGCTCAATTGTAATTTGGTCCTTCATCCAAACACTTTTCTTTATGTCACAATGTAAATGCGTGATCGGTTGATGTACCCGCCAGATTAGCTTTACGTGATATAACGCACGTATGAGGAAGTGGCATAAAACAAGACGAGCAGCTGTTACTCGCGTGATCCGTTCATGTATATGATGTGTGTACTTACGCATACACGCACGATGTCAGTCCACCGGCCCAGTCGATTATTGAATATTCTCAGAGATATCATCAAAAAATCTTTCTATTAAACTTTTCTACATTTAAACTTTTCGACAGAATATTTTAGATATCTACGAAGAATTTTAAATTAAAAAATTCAGATTTAAATTTAGAAAATTAGATTCAATACAGAGAATCAGATACTTGCGTATGTACGTGTTTGTGTGTGATTTGGCGACGTGCGCCGAATAAGTGAGCATGCGGTCGTACGAGTCGCGATCGACCAATACGAGATCGCATCGCCGGCACAGTGATTACGTATACGCAACTCGTGCCACGTGGTTGCGTGAGATGTGGTAAGATGCGTGCGCGAAAATGAAGCTATGTTACATGATATTTTTTTCGGTACATGATATTTTTTTTTTTCGTTTAAAAATTCGCGTGAGAAAAAATTAACGATAGAAATATTTTCGAATTAATGTTGGTCGAAGGACAGAAAAACAAGAGTGATCTCATAAAAAGCAAAATCATAAAAAATGTCTTAAAGTACGAAAATTTTGCTACGAGCAGTTCTGATCAACACTTTTTTTCTATTATTAGTCATTAACATGAAATACAAGTACCACGTATATACGTACACGTGGCGCAATATGTGTGAATCATACTGAATAATGATCGTATGATGCGTGCAAGGGGTCAGCGAGCATTACCCGAGTGTTATTTGCGTGAACTGTTATACTCGGGTTCATGTTATGAAACAGATGATGTAGAAAACGGCACATGAAAAATAGTTAGCGTAGATTACAATCTGAATATTTTATATCAATTCTCGTGTCAATTCTCAGCTAATAAATCTTACAGGATTAAGGACCGATTGTTCCACTTTTTGATAAATTTTATCTATAAGATAAATCTGGTAATCCACGCATGTGATTTTGTTATTTACCCAACAGCTAAAATTTATCAAAAGATGGAACAACTGGTTCTAAATGACTTACGTTGAGTTGTTCTTTCGGTAAATTTCAGCTCACTGTCTTATTCTCTTACTCTTTTATACTCTTATTCTTTTACTTCTTATTGTTTATCCAATAAATAAATTATCACATAATTTATCTGAAGATGGAACAATCGGCCCTTATTTACGTATGAAATTAATTATTAATGAAGTACTAATCGGACAGCTTTTTTTTCCATTGTTCGTTATTTTAGAATACATGAAAATAGTAATAAAAAAGTATTTGTTTAAATTACATAATTGAAGGTAGTTCGCCTTTAAAAAGCGCGAAGCAAGTGGTCTGTAGTTCAGTACTGCTAATATAGACGTGCGGTCGATATTTGTCGGAAGAATAGAATGCGCGCAGTCTGGTCGGTTTCCGTCCGTCACCATTCGCTAGTCTCAGGTGGCGAGAGTGTGCGAAGCGATTCCATTGGTTCAGACGATCTCAGCTGAGGTCTGGTCCGAGCCGACCAACAGTTTACCCATACCGTATCAGACGCAACTCGATTATTCTCCCCAATCCCTGCCATAACTGCCGGTATAACGTGATCCTCAACAAACTGGATATTGGAGAAAGGGAAAAAAAAAGACAGAAGATTTAGAAGATCTTAAGATCAGCGCGTTTCAAGCCTCTATCGTGAAACGAACCATCAGTCTCGCATATCTTTTCTTTTGTCGACGTTAAACGTTAATAATTAGAAGTGTTTTCAAGTTGAAAAGCAGGACTTTATTTAAAAAGGTAGCATCGTAACTTAAATTTGTATTAAAAAAAAAAGCGTGTTTAAGAAAAACTGATTCGAAATTTAAAAAACGGCCCAGTCTATGTATGTGTGTGTGTGTGTGTGTGTGTGTGTGTGTGTGTGTGTGTGTGTATGAAGTAATAATAAACGTATATGATGTACGCATAAGTACTCAGATTGTTTAACTACGACAAGATAAAACGCGAAATCAACCTGTCGAGATTATCATTATTATTCGCTCAGCTGTTTCGTGAAAATAGACCCTGTTGTTTAACAACGCGACATATGAAGTCTGTTTTTTTATTTATCGCATACTCTTTGAATTGATGCATACGATGCAAAGTGAGTGCAAGAATAAAAAGCAGACCTGTGATCGTCAAACGGAATAGAGGCTAAAAGTCAAAGTTGATAATTGATAATAACAATTGATGACAAAAGTTAAGATCAGAACACAGACTTTTGTATAACGTATAAATGCATAAAGAATAAAAAAGTCAAACCAATCAGAACTTTTTATTTTATAAAGGAAAGAAATGGAAACGAAAAAAATGAGAGACATGTATATTTTCTTGTGCATTATACATTATATAAGTTTCTGTGCTCCAAATATGAATTAATAGTAAATGAATTTCTTTTTTATCGATATATGACTGACTTCAAACTGCACAAAAAAAAGATATATGAATATATAGATACATAACTATATTTGTTGTTAACATTAAGAATTACGTGGTAGCGAATATTGGAAAGATACATGAATCAATTATTAATATAGTTAAGTTAATTTTTCATTTTTTTTATCAAGTGATGATAAGCACGAATGCAGAATTAACTCATACTATTCTATTTTTTTAAGGCAAATTAAAATTAATGCGCATTTTTATATAACATATATCGTTTTATATTTCGTATTTTGTTTTTTATATTTCAATTTTTCATTTTTTTCTCTATTTTTTACTTGATTTTATATATTACCTAAAAAATACTTATCGGAATTAATTTATTAGATAATATTGCTTCTAATTAATTTTTTTTTTTGATTGCGTCAATTCTAATTAGTTCTTGAACGACTTACTTGTATATCTATTAACAAGATGCATATTATATTTATTATTTCCTTCTTCATAAACGGAAAAATTAAAGTAATAAACTACGAGATACTATAATTTATTTTCATATTCAATAATTATATTAGGATTCTCGAATTTTAAACAATACAAAAAAATAAATATAATAAGCTAATGAGAGTCAGCAACGATAAACGGCGCAATTATTTAATTTAATTATTTAGAACAATCAATACTCAGATATTGGATTAATGTCTTCTTTCTTTTGAACGTTTCGATTCTCTTATTTTCATATTAATGGAGAAATCATGATCGTCTTAAAGAATATGAAACTTGAACTATTGCATACATCAAATTCATCAATTTTTAATCGCGCAATGCTTTTTATCAGAAATATGAAAATCAGCAAACCAGCTTGTCATTGAAATTATTAGTTTATTAATAATCGCGTTTTATAAATAGTAATTACTAAGAAAACGATATTTTTTATTTTCATAATCACAGGAACTTATTATGATTTATGCACATCAAATCATCACACTGAATGTAATGATTGAAGTCAACAAATTTATGTGTGCATAATGCGTCACACGTATTCAATACTAAAAAATGATTCTACAGTTGATTATAATTTTAAAATTTACGATCATTAAGAAATCATTTCATAACTTATTTCTTTGAAAGTATGCTAAGTCAAATGAGTCGATGAATGCTGAATGGAATTCATTACACTACTTTATGTTTATTATTCATTATACTACTTCATTACAACTTCGGAGATGTATTATTAATAATTTCTGAAAAAATGAATCTAATCAATTACAAGTTTATTTTTATCGATTGTCAACAAATTCGATCAATAAAGATATGTAGTTAGAAATCATGTAATAATGATAAAATTTTTGATATTATTACTTAGAGGTAATAATATCATTGTGTTAGATTGATCGATGTGCCATGTGAGAAATACAGTTGACCTCAAATGTTTTACAGCCTTGGCAATGATCGAGCTCGCTCGAATGAGTCGAGGTCGTTCTTGAGGTCATGTCCTCAATTTTGTTATAGTCACATCTAAAATATGATGACATTGCAGTCACTATCGTAAAGGTTTTGATTATGAATGGATTATGAATGTTCAATGTGATAAATGAATTACCATCATTCTTTAAATACACTTTAAATACGATGTAACTCATTCATCGCACTCAGAGAAAAATTTGACAACTACTAAATTAATAACTCTAATAATTTAAGTACTTGCAACTAGTTTTAAAAAAATAATAAGAACTAAAGTAGTACTGACTACTATATTTTTATTGTATTATACTATATTTCTATAGTATTCGGTACTGCTTTAGTTTTTATTACTTTTTAAAACTAGTTGCAAGTATATTTAAATTTTAGAGTCGTACTTTATAGTTGCCACAACTATTTTTTTTCTCTCAGTACGCGTTTCTTTGGTAATGAATACAGTAGATTCATTTAAAATATAAGTATAATAGCATATTCTTCGAGCTTAAGAAATATAATATGAACAAGATTTATAATTTTTATTGTTTACAAAAAATATTAAAAGAACTATGTTATTATGATAATATATCATGCACTTGTTATTAACAATATCAAGTTAATAATTGGTAAAAAAATTACACCAAGCTCAAGTTCCTATTGTTTTATATTTTTTTGTCTTTTAAAAAAATTCATTGAATATGCACATATAATTGCAATGAGAAAAGGCTTTAGTAGAAAAAAGGCTACTTATTTATACGAATTTATCTACGTTATTGTCCATTGCTTTTGTCTCGTTTAAATTATTTCGATTCGGTTTTCGATAGAAACTTTATGATCGGATTATTTGGGATTATTAAGAAGATCAGCTGATCACTCATCAGAGCGATTCCGCGCAAGCGACTGTCGACGAAAATACCGAGTGTCGGCGTCCCGGTGCCGCGCAAGCCTGCGCCTGGAGGACGTGCATCGAGGATCCAGCTGGCACTGCTGGCAGTCGATAGACGGTCCTCGACCGGGCATTGTCGAAACCATCACGATCTCGTGTTCTACTCCAATATTCGCGATCGCGGGACATAGGCGGATCCTCCGGTTCGGGCTCGTACATCCACGTGCGTTTGACGGAATTGAGGACGACTTGCGGGATTGCGACAACGAGCATATACGAACTCCGTATGTATGCGTCGGTCCCGATAAATCAACCGATAATTCCGAATTGCTTTCGCGTTTGTGAATCGAGAGAAGATCGATTCCAAAGTAATTAAGATAATTAAAACAATCATTAAAAAATCATGAAAAAATATTTCTAAATTTCAAATTTGTACACGTGATTCAAATAGAAGTCTATTTTTCATAGTACGACAGCGAGAAACCGTACTCCGTTATTACTTTATAATATAGAATATGTCGTGTGAGTAGTATTCGGTCTTTGCGGTTTCACTAGCATGATCGATGAATCGAATCTAATCATGTACCGGGTCTCGCGATGCAAGTTTCTAACTGGGATAATTGAGATGTCAGCTGGTAGCTTTGTGTGACGTGGTGAAAGTCTTACAGGTGTCATTTCCTCAATATCACTGTCGCCGGGCACCGGTTACCAATTAGCGGACGAGCCGGTGCGCTTGTGCGTGTACGAATGACATAATCGCAGTTGCTTTACGTTTTCAGGTCATGCATTGTCTAGAAAGTCTGTCTAACATAACTGTTTCATGTATCTTTAATGTGTAATTGCGAATCGCAATAATTATAAAGTCGAATTTCTAGTAAATGGCAAAAAGGTACTCCCAATAAATTCCAACTAAAAAGAAAAAGATGAAATTAAAAGGAGAGAAATGATACATTTTGTATTTGTCCCATATAAACTCGTATTTGCTGCTACTTATTTTACTTTTATCGATCGCTTTTGCGTCATACGTCATTGCTATTTGTTCCACGAGGTTTTGATTCTAGAAGAGTATCGATAATTATGACGTTATTATACGATGTTTATTATATGAGTTCCATTAAGTAAGCCATGTGTGCAAATGTATTATCGTCGCGGCGGTCTTATCAAAGGAACTCTATTCTTAACATTGGTTTTATTTGGAAATAATTTAAATTTGACTAAAAACGTTTAGCTAATTTTAATTTTTTAATTTAATTTTAACACAAATATCTATAGTATTAGTCTTTTTTAGTATGCTTTTGTGATTCTAAAACTACAAAATATTGGAATTATATTAATAACACGTCGGTCTTGATTTGTATTACATAGAAAAATATAATTGCAAAAATTTGTACATGAATATATATTAATAAACGCTGAGAAACGCTTCGGTAGAAAATAGGATTTTTTTCTCTTATTTAATTTTTATTCTTATATTTTAATGTAGCAATATAAATAATTAAATATTCAGGACAACGATATAATGAATAACTAAAAAAAATTATATTATCAATATAAATGATTAATGAATAATGAAAACGAAATAAAAAATAAATTATTAATCAATACGACAGCGATGATAGTACAAGATTTGATACAATAAAATTTTTTGCAAGAAACATATAATAGGAATTTTTATGTCATTAATAGACAAGGATGGCGCCGAATATAACAAGCACACCGACGGGAGTGTTATTTGAAGGTGAGACTCTTGGCGAGCCGCAACTAATTGAAGAGCCCAAGGAAAAACCTAAATATGTTCGGCGTATCGTTTGGAGAAACGTGGCGGTTTTCTCCTATCTACATCTCAGCGCTCTTTACGGAATTTATCTCTCATTCACGTCCGCCAAATTGGCAACCGTCATTTTCGGTAAGTGGTCCAATTTTATTAAGTAACGTATTGCTTGCATATTAATTATTTGAAATAATACTTTTGCTTAATAAAGTCAAATTGTATTAAAATATTATTTGATTGATCGCAGCTAGACTGAGTTTAGCTGATATATTTATGTTGATATATTCATCGTAGTGGACTTTGTTCAATTTTGCACTTACACGAAGCTTTTTAACGCAAGCAATTAGCGGAATGTCAATTAGGTCAGCTAAAATATTATATGTCATTACTTGCGACTCTTTTGAAAGAGATTAGCATACCTATTGATACGAGTTTTTTTATAATATCGTTTAAGCCAGTAATGTGCAATCCACATCTCGTCGATTAATTTTCTGCGATCAACTGATAGCTGAAAATATAAAATTATATTTTCTACTTTTCATGTAAACTATAAAAATAATAATATTATGCATAACGGTTTAACAGTTTTATTTAATATATATTTTTAAAAATCTTCAAGAATTTATATTTATTTAAAAATGTAGCTTATATTTCATAAATAAATAATATGTTTGTCAAATTGATTTTTATAAATTACAATATTTTTATTTTTTATTTTTTTATTGATAATATCAAAGTTAATCATTCTAATAGTTATTTCTACACAAAGTACACACATATATATATATATAAGAATTAATTATATAAAGTAGACGGAAATAATTTTTATTAACGAATTATATTACAATTATCTGTCACATTGAGAATGGTTTGTAGCTCGTAGCCCTTTTATTATTTATCTATTTAATTCCTTATTAATATTATAATATAATTTTTTATCTATTTAATTTATGTATATATAATAATAATATATACGATAAATTATATAAATAATATAATAAGTTACATAAATTAAATAAAATCTCGCAAGATTTTGAAAATAGCTTTAGTTTAAAAAAGATTGCATATCATTGGTTTAAGCTAAATGGTTTATTATTGGAATTATTACTATATTCTCTCTCTCTCTCTCTCTCTCTCTCTTTCTCTCTCTCTTTCTCTCTTGTTGCGTTTGTTACTATAATATATTTTTCAAGATGATTGTAATTATATAAACATGTCGTTACGACATTCATGTTACGAATAAATTTTCTGCAGTTCCGCATTGTCAATCATATTTCTCGTAATGTAATTTGTCATAAGATGGTTATCCAATAAAGATTGATGATCTGGAACAAACGGCGACCTTTGCGTGTAACTTAATAATTTTCTCGATTGCAGCAATTTTACTGTATCAAGTCAGTGGCTTGGGAGTCACAGCCGGAGCTCACCGACTCTGGGCACACCGATCTTACAAAGCCAAGTGGCCTCTTCAGCTGATACTCGTGATTATGAATACTATAGCATTCCAGGTAGATAAATTTCTCAGATAGAGAAATCGTATATAAAATAACAGATAAAAATATTTAGATTCGAGAGAAATAAAATTGATAATTTATAATTAGTTTTTTTCGTGACAGATTCCAATCCTAGGATTTTGGCAAATATTAAATTAAATGTATATATGAACAACATAACAATTAAATGAAAATACGATAGAATCGATTCTTTCTTGTAGCTACTGAGATATAAGAAATTCATGTTGATGCAATGATGTCAAGTAGAAACACGCGTCGCGTGTAAGAAATAGTAAAATAATGTAATCCAATGCATCGTTAGATGTTAACTAAACAAATGATGTATTGTTAAAAAAAAAGATATTCCATGAGCTCAAGAATACGTTAATATATAGTATGTAATATAGTATGTAATATAGTATGTAATATAATATATACGTATAATATGTAGTATGTGTTGCTTACGACGGAAGTTTTGGTCCTTAAAGGAATAAGGCATTCTACATTTATCAACATCATTCAAGTAATTTTGTCGTATCTAGGATGCAGCGATCGACTGGGCTAGAGACCACAGGGTTCATCACAAATACACCGAGACCGATGCTGATCCGCATAACGCTAAGAGAGGTTTTTTCTTTTCGCATGTGGGTTGGTTGCTCTGTAGGAAACATCCGGAAGTTAGGGAAAAGGGCAAGCGTATCGATTTAAGTGATCTCGAGAGCGATCCCATATTGGCATTCCAAAAGAAGTACGTATGCTGATATTAATCGAAATAATGTTATTGACGAGATGTCTACAATGATTTATTATTCATTTCAGATATTATACCATATTGATGCCATTATTATGCTTCATTTTACCAATTATTATTCCGGTCGTATGTTGGAACGAGACCTGGACGAACGCTTACTTTATTCCTACCATCCTCCGTTATATCTTCACATTGAACATGACATGGTTAGTAAACTCTGCGGCTCATCTCTTCGGCAACAAACCCTACGACAAGTAAGTATTAATTAATAAAAACACGAGTATATCTTTTAAATCAAATTTTGTACTCCCTTAATTTTTTTCGAAGGAAAAAATTATCTAATTTTTTACTCTTTACTTTTCTCAAATCTTTACCAGACTTTTATGTTTCGAAAGATTGATTTTTGATGTGATCAACATTCAATTGTTTTCTTATTTATTATAGGTATATCAATCCATCAGAGAACAAGAGTGTTGCCATATTCGCCCTCGGTGAAGGTTGGCACAATTACCATCACGTCTTTCCCTGGGATTACAAGACGGCCGAATTTGGCAATTACAGGTTCAACTTTACGACGGCCTTCATCGACTTCTTCGCGAAGATCGGTTGGGCATACGATTTAAAGAGCGTATCTGAGAATATGGTGAGGAAACGAGTAGAGAGGACGGGTGATGGCAGCCACGAGTTATGGGGTTGGGGCGATATAGATCAAACGCAGGAAGAAAGAGACGAAGCGATAGTGATGCATCATTACACGAAGGATCAGTAGGATCCTACGAGTGTACGTGCAAGACTGTCGATTAAATAAGGCTTTCTTCGCATTCGTTCACAACGATCATGAATTGATTCGTTTGGACAAATTTCGTAGAAGATATATTCGAGTCGGCCTTCCCCAGGACTCACGTCTCGATCGTCGCGCATCTCGGTTTCGACATATCGTTGCACATTATTTGGCGGGTTCCATATAATACAGCCTCGGAAGGTTCGACACCGAGCAGGATTTTTATAATGTCGATGGTGTTCTGGATCCCAAATAAGATGTACTCACTCGATAAACTTTTCTATCTTTCATTTTTCAGATATAGAGATTGATATATATACATATATAATTAGCTTCCGAATATACTATGTAATTATTAAACAGTTTGTATTATTCATACAATTTTTAACGCATATAATTGTAACGATAGATATATACATGTTTGTATAATTGGAGCATTGATCTAATGTAATAATTTTGTACTTTTGGCTTTTAAAGTAACGCATAAATGTTGTGGTAAAGGAAAAAAAAAGAAATGTAAAAATTTAAATATGATACAAAAATTAGAAATCTAACTTGACATAAATACAAATCATTTTTAAGAATGTAAAATGGTTACAACGTTGCTCAATTTTAATATATATATGTATTTATGGCCACATTTTGTACGTTACGCCTTTTCAATTAAAATAAATAATTTCTTAAATGATTCTTAAACTTGATATTAATCTTGAAACAATACCGTCTTATCGCTAAATCAAAATTAACTTTAAAAAATACTTTAAAAAAACGTCCAGAACATCAGCGAGACATTATACTTTAACAAGCGTAACAAAAATTAAAATTTCTTTATTTTTCGTTTTTCTTATGATAATATTATAAGCACAAAAATTCTTTTAAGTTTTTAATTGCAATAAAAGAGAAATTATTTGCTATTTCTATAATTAAGTACATTACGTTTTCGTAATTCTTATTAGTTAGTTCCTATTAGTATATTTCACATGCTTATTGTATTATATGAATTAGTATAGGTAACACTGAATTTGGCATATTTATTTGGTAAATTTATTTATATACTAATCACTTATGTTTCTAATGGAAAGAAATAAGTAAGTATGTAAATAAAAACTTTTGTGCTAATAGTATAATAATAAAGATTTATAAACCAAAGCGAACGTAAGTATCCAATGTAGCTACGACGTGATGGATGTGCGATGTATGTTTATATTAATTTATCATTCTCTTGGTATCAGTTAATATGTAAGATTCAAGAACTGTTATGCGTATAACAGTTTGTGATGTAAAATTATAGCGAGAGAAGTCATTTTTGCTCCTCGCTCTAGTTAAGTAAAGGATTATCCTTTTTATGATATAATGTAGACAGTTTTCATTTACTTATTTGTTTTGTTATATATCTTTTTTCAAAGACATCGAAAATATCTTTCCGTGTAAAATAAACTTTATTTATTTTTCTTTTTTCACGAGATCGTGCAACGCGTTTCGTGATTTTGTGAGTGCGTCACATTAATTGAATTAACATAATTATAATTTATGTTCTTAAGAATTTAAATTTATACTCTTGACATATAACAAACCATTCTGCTACTTGTTATCGCATTTATTTTATTATAAATTTCTACCTATTTGACTTTTATTTTATATCATACTCTTGATAACTTAAATAAAATTATGATCGCTTGTTCATCCAGTATGACAAGCATATAAAATGAATGTCACGTAATTCGCTGAGAACACAAAATTATTAAAATTATTTTTTACTATTAAATGTAAAAAAATCATTTGTCTATATTGTATTGTATTATACAATGAGCTGTCATATTAATAATTAAAATAAAATGTTTAATAAAAAATATATTTTTATGTAAAGACATTACATACTTTGCTTCTCTTCATTCAGCGTGCTACACGCTGCTATTGCTCCTTGTTGTTATTCAAACTATCAAATTATCAAATATCAGTTCAATCATTACGCAATGTAGATACAATTACAATAGAGATAAGAGATAAGTATAATATATTTAATATTTGGCGAAAGTGAAGAAAAGAATTCTAATGCAGTTTAGTGCAGAAATAAAAAAAAAACAATATTTGTTTAGTGTTCCAGTTCTTAGCGATTATGTTTCTTTATTAGACATTAAATTTATCGTATCAGATATTTAATTTATAATAGACATTATGTATATGTAAGAAACCGATCATATATCAAAATTTAATTACATATCAATTTAATTTGTATATTATAATAGAGCATGTTCCCCAAAATTCGCGAATCAGAACACGGAATAACATAACAAAGAAGTTTTCAAAAAATTAAGTAAAAAAGTTATTTGTGAATTTTTATTTTAAGCAACAGTTTTTAATATATAAGAGTTTAAAAATAGTCAATTATGGACTACGTTCAGATTACTTGTCCATGAATCATACGTATAATATTAGTAAACGCATATTTCAGCGTTTAAACGTAGTCCACAATTGGCCATATTCACTTTTATTATTTCACGAACTATTGCTTAAAATAAAACTTCACGAACAACTTTTTTACTGAATTTTTTGAAAACTTTCTTATTAATGATATTCCAATTTACAAATTTCGAGACACTCTGTATATATAATATATTAAATTACAAACATTAATTTATTTTCTTCTAAATTAATTTTTTTAGTGACGATACATCAGCTTCTCCTTATAAGCGACTTCTTCTGCATTCTGTTTTACTTCCGCCAAAGCTTCATCCATTGTCATCTCCGATGAGGCCACTTTGTAAAGAGCTTCTCGCACATCATCGCAGGTAGCAGTCTTCAGTTGATTGATAAGATCGAGTTCGTACCACATTTTGAGGATAAATGTGATGAATCCTCTTTCATAAGAACCGAATTCATTGTTTTTCCAGTCCCATGGCAGCATATAGTGATAATTCAGCCAATAAGACTTCGATAGGAAAAAAACAGAATTGTCATCAACCGGAAATCTAAAACATCAATGCCACAAGTTAGATTATTGAAAACAAACTCAATGCAAAGACATAATGCAAAGATTACGCTATTATACATATGAAAAAGATACAATACACCGTTAAAAGAAGAAAGAAAAATAGTTATATATCGAAGTCTAACTAATAAATTTTTTAATACTTAATAGAAAAATTAAAATTTTTATGAAGATTATTATATACTTTTCAAACTTTTATTGTGGAACATTTTTATTTCATCCAGAAAATCAAAAATGATTTAAGTTTAAGAGTAAAAGAGAGAGGAAACATACTATTTTTTTACAAACTATAGAAATCAAAGCCTTAAATAGTTTAACTGGATCTTATGCTTGTATGATTCTTGTGTGAATTTATATACTACATATGTAGTTCTTAGAAAATGATTTTTCAGTCTTGCGCGCCAAAATGATTTTTCAGTCTTGAAACGCTAACTCCACTAAACTACTGGCCGAGGTAATATTTTTCGCAATAAGAATTAATTATTTACAGATTTTAATATATCATTCAACAAGATTTTAATATATCATTAACAATCATTCAACAACATTATTAAGATCGTTTCAAAAATGCGAATAAAAAAATTCATTAAAAATTTGTTAAATTGCTAGTCAATTTAACTTGTGATATTACTGCGATAGTTTAGTGGAGTTGTCACATATACGGTAATATATTATATTGTTTATTATTTTTTTATTTGTGTAATTTTTTAGAGTTTATGATAAAATATTCTCAAATCTTCAAATTCTGTTAAATGCTATTTATAACGTATACCATTCTATAAGAATGGTACCATGATTCTTCGCCTCGAAGAATAATTTGCGAAAAGCAAGAGAGAATATCAAAAATAGATATTAACTTGTCTCCTTTCTTCAGGCCCCAAACCAGCAAGGCGCTGTTTACTAGCCAAGAAATATTTGTTGTTATTAATAATCGCGCTGCACCAATAATCATAAATGAATTTGTATATGATTCATTCCAATATACTACAGCTGCGTGAATAGGCAACAGAAATCCGAGTACAATGAAGAGTATCCAGTAGAACCTACGTAACATATACTATTTTAATTATTTTATATATTGTGTTTTATATCGTTGTTATAATTATTTTTATATATTAGAATTAGAGAAAGTTAAAGTAATTTATTTCATATTCTGGAATAGAATCTCTTCAAGTATCAAATAAAAATAAAATAAAAAATAGGAAATACAATTAATGTGAAATTAATAAAAAATTTATATAATTATAGAATCGAATAAGTAAAAAGGTAAAAAAGTATAAGTAAAAAAAAATTTTTTTAAATATATTGATAAAAAGTGAAAGTAGGTAATAATAAAAAATTAGAAAAAAAATCCGTTCTTTTACAATTTTTTATGTACAGAAAGAGTTGAATGCACAAGAAAAAAATAAGATATTTTTTATGTTTAAATTATAATAATTAAAGAGATATATAAAAGAGACATACTTCCGTTGTGTCCAAATATATCCGTCCATGTCTACATCACGCATATCAATGTCTCTCGCGTATGTTTTTATATCAGAAGGTACTGACAAGAGATTACTGATTACGTGAGAGTAAAAGAAACCTTTGTTATGATTGTACGGATCTCTCTCGGTACCATGATATTTATGATGCATCCTATGCCAAAATACCCAGTCATATATCGAACCCTAAATACAAATAAAATCTGATTATTTTTATAATTTACATTTTTATTTTTTACAACTGCATATTTTCAGATTGACATTGACTTTGCAATTATATAGTTAATTAACATGTCCATTATGTATTACGTAATATCCCGAGTATGATGACAAACACGACTTGGATCTTTACAATAAAGCAACGTCATGCAATGTATAAGTGAAAATAATAGCTTAATTTAACTTCATTAAAAATGTATGTTATACTATATTATATTAAATAAAACAACTAAAAATTTTGCAAAATTACATTTTTTAAAAGAATGATATAGCCACACAGTAAAAATGTTCAATGTGTTAAGGATATAGATAATATATAGACGGATTTAATAGCCATGAAAGTGTAAAAGAAAATATTAAAAGTAACATACTAGTGTTATGAAAGGAGAATTTATTTTATTCTAAATTATGTTATTCTAATTTATGTTATTATTACAAACATAATTGTATTTTAATTAATCAACACTTATTAACATTTATTGAAATATTCAAATATTTGAATAATATTAAATATTTAATATTACATAAATCTTTTACTTACCACGCCTGCGATAGTGTGTGCAAGCATTATAAAGAATCTGATTTGTGATGTGGCAACATATGTTTGATGTGCATATAGTCTGTGAGCTCCCGCTGTCAGTCCTATGAAACTAGTCGTGATGAGAAATAAAACTAAAATCAGCAAAGCAGGAAACTATTAAATGGCTATCAAAAAGAAAATGGTAAACATATTATTACAAAGATCGATATTCACAGTCAGTCTTTATTTCAAGATCGCCTTAAGTAATGTTTTAAAATGATATACAGCTTAGTTTATAATATCTTAAGAGAGATTAATACCAAGTAAAAATGCATTGGCAGATAACTTTTATTTATGGAAAGTGCAGTATTTAAAATTTATATTTTACAGGATACTTTGTGACAATTGCAATTTAATGTAAACATTCTTCTGCAAAATAAAATTCTCATTTTTTGTCTTTATTACAAAATGAGTTAATTATATAAATTAATTCTATATCTATCATTGTAGTTCTACGTAATAATTTACGATACTTACAGTAGAATACTGTCATCCATTTCGCCTTGATGAATAAAAAATATAATCCAACAAATCCAAAAACGTGAAGATAGATATAAAATAGAACGGCAGTCCATTTCATGGAACGTTTCTTTATTTCATTATTATTTTCGTTGCTATTGCTATTATTCTGTTCCATGAATTCCTTCATGTCGATATTATGACTATCGCTATAAAAAAATCTAAAATATTAACACTCATCAAAAATCTAAAATATCAACATTCATACATCAACACTTTTACAAAGAATCAGTTATTGTTAGCGCCGAAAAAATATAATTGATAATTATAATATCTTGTTAAAAAATATTACAATAGCAAAAAATAGAATAAGATTAATTAATTACGAACAATAATCAGAGAATTAGGAGACTTTATAAAAACACGAAACGTTTTAAATAATTTTATTCCCAATATAACGGCAAGTTATAAATTAATTAAATAATAATAATTAATTTAAATAGTTATATAATAGTTATAGTTATAGAGTTATTTTTATTTATAGTTAATTTATATAATTTGATTATATAATATATTTAGAAATTAATGCAGCTATTTAGAAACTATCTAAAAAAACGATAAAATATTATTAATTTTGTCTTTTTTGGGTTAAAGAACGAGAAAAAGGAAGAAAAATTAAAAGATAATTACAAATGAAAAGAAATATACAAGAAGCATCGACATACATTCCTTTATCTGAAAGATAGATGTATTACTTACTTCTCAATAATGCCGCACTGAAACGCACTTCTGAAAGATCAGAAAAGAACTACATGACGAAAATTATGTCGAGGATATTCTGACTAGCCTTTTGACCCTGTTCAGAATTTCATTACCAACACAAATAAGTTGCTTTTTCCTCGTCATTTCCTGCATATTGAACTTCGATGAATCTATCAGTTGCGCATACTTGAATGATGAATTTCTTAAACTTATTATTACAAAAATGTCTTGTTTTTTACTTTTTATTTTTCATGCATCATGAAATATTGTATATTTTATATTACGCTCGACAAACATATTCATAAAATATAGATTATGTATCCGTACAATATAACCATTACATATCTGGAGGATTTACATGTCTTCTAAAAAATATGACCACTCAGTTAGTAAAAAACATATTATAAGTTAATCGAAAGCTTATTTTCTGAGAGGTTTATAATTTAAAAAAAAAATTATTAAATTAACATCTTAAAAAAATAATAATTATCACTGGTTATTATGCTTAATTGACATTGTTAATTGACAATTTAACAATTTAACAATTAAAAAAATTGTTAAATTAAAAATTGTTAATTTATTATATTACTAGGTTTTAAAATTATAATTAGCTGCTCGTATATTAAGACGGAATCACACGATGCTCGATTTTTTGAATGATATAACCATGCTTGTTCTAATGTTAGAAATTCGTTCATACGTTTTTGAGCGCTGCATGCTACATGAGTTTTATATTTATTATGGATTATTTCATAGCTTATTTCCTTGCATGCACCAATCAAAAAAAATAATTGCTAATTTTATAGTTATTTATCAAGCGTCAGACTGTATGCATCAAACAAGCATAGCAGCATACATGTGTGCATGCATGCGTACATGCATGCGTGCATGCTTATTATTCAAGAAATCGAGCATCGTGTGACTTCATCTTTACAGTCCGATATTCATATTATCTTACAAAGAAAACTTTTTTTTATTTCAGTGTTACTATTTTGTTATTATTATCATTTAAAGCTATGATAAATCAAATACTAAATATAAGCATATTCAAGTCTATAACTATCAGAGCTAGATCTTCTCAATGCCTAAATAATTTACAGTGAATTATCTATATCCTGTATATGAACATACATATATATATCACTTTTTTGTAGTTATTCAAACTGCGTGCCAAAATTTTTCCGGACTTTATCAAATTAAATTATTGCAATAATATCACAAGTTAATATCTACGATAAATCTACATCTATCATTGAGATTTTCCATTATAATTTATTATAAATTATATATTATTATAAATTATTCGTTTGGGCCAGTGATGCACAACCTGCTGTTTGCCAATTAATTTTCTGCGGCTAATCGTCTCAAACACAGCTGAAAATATAAAATTGTATCTTCTGTTTTATGTAAATTATTAAAATAATAAGATTATGCATTCAGTTTTATTTGTAAGATAAAGATTTAAAAATTCTTTAAGAATTTATATTTGAAAATGTAACTGCTATTTCATTAAATGAATGGCATATTTATTAAATATTTGATTTTTATAAATTATTTTAAATTTTTCATTTCCTTATTGATGAGATAAAATTCCAAGTTA